TTATCATCTGACTTTTTATCATCTGACTTTTTGTCATCTGACTTTTTACTTTCCTTTTCTTCTCTTTTATGAACGTTGTTGTCATCTGACTTTTTGTCATCTGATTTTTTATCATCTGATTTTTTATCATCTGATTTTTTGTCATCTGATTTTTTGTCATCTGACTTGAAACTTTCCTTTTCTTCTCTTTTATGGAGGTTTTTGTCATCTGACTTATTGTCATCTGATTTTTTATCATCTGACTTTTTATCATCTGACTTTTTGTCATCTGACTTGACACTTTCCTTTTCTTCTCTTTTATGGAGATTTTTTTTATGGAGGTTTTTGTCATCTAACTTGACATTTTCCTTTTCTTCTCTTTTATGGAAGTTTATGGTATTTAATTCGGCATTTGTACCTATTGAATGAATAATAAATACAAGTTAAATATATAAAATTATAACAAATATAATTAAAATATTATTATAAAAATCAATACGTTTTGTTGTTGGAATTGCCAATGTGCTGACAATGAGAAGAGTCAAATATAAGGCAGAGAAATTGAATTTCATGGTTGTAAAAAATTTATTAAAAGTTTTTAAAATTTAGAATTTAAAATTTATTGTATCTGTAGATAAAGAAGTTAATTTTATGAACCAACTCGTTAGAACTAAAGTTCAGAAAGCCCCTTATATAAAGAAATTTTAGATTAAAGTTAGATGTAAATTCATCTTATTCATTATATAAAATATGACGACATTCTAATGCGTGAAGAACTTAAAGAATATTAATTTAGCATTATCAAGTATGAGCATTTCGGCGCTTTTAAAATCTTCTCATAATACAGTATGTCAATATACAAGGTAATTTTCACATCATTCATACGTATAGAATTCTAAAAATGTGCACATAAACGAATTGTATATAGTATTCTAAAAATGGCACGCATATACCGTTAATGTGCGTATAAAAGACCGGGTCTATTTCATTCCATCAACTTTTAAACTAGTGTTCCAAGCCGATTAAGTTAGCCACTTAGCCAGCCACTTAGCCGCTTAGCTAGCTGATAGTCTAATCAGCCGGCTAATAACGGCTAATAATATTAATTACAAAATCAAAGTTTTATATAACTAAAATTTATATCGTTATACATCGAATTAAAAATTTTACATTGGATCAAAATAATAATAATGCCAGCCACTAATAAACTACCCGACATAAGGTTTTACCTTAACCCTAATTAAACTCAGGTTTGAAAATTTGATCTGACAAAAATTTCAATTTAACGTATAAACATATATAAACTTTGGTAACAAATCTTTATTCGATTGAATACTTATTTGTTTCCAAGAATTTAATTTGTTATTTAAAATTCTATTGTATAAAAACAGTCTGAATATTTAAAGTAAACCCGAATCTAAAAAGCTACTTATTTCGAATGAAGTACTATAGACATACAGTATAACATAAAATTATAGGCTAAGCCGCTAAGCCATTAAAAATATGATGGCTTAGCCTAGCCGTAAAAATTTAATCGGCTTGGATCACTATTTTAAACCTTTTAGCATACTCCGAGTCTAGTACATGCACAATTCGTACGTAATACCTCTATCCGGATTTATACTATGATAAAACCGGATTAATCCGGATATAAAAAAATATATCCGGATTGAGGTATTTCGTACAGACTCGTTGTTCTAATTTATGGTGATTTACTATTTTTGGGTTCTTGCATGCTGCATGATGACAATTAATGTTTTAACTTTGTTATATCTGTCCTTTCAGGAAAATGGTTTCCATTATCAGTCTGTTCATGTCATAAGGCGTAATTCATTAACCAGGCCGATTGCGACGTAAAAACTGCATCATACGTAGTAAATGGATTATACGACTACACTTCAATCACGTAAGTTTTTTTATAGAGATAATGCATAAACTAATAGCACATCGAAAGAAATTTCTTAAAATATTAATCTCTATAAAGTGAAGGATCTATAATCCTTAATCTTTTTGCATAGAAATAACACGGCAAAAATAATATATATGTACATATTAGCAACTATTCCATGTATACAACAATTTAGCTCATCTACAATGAACTAGTTGGCTTTGTTATAAAGTGATTGAGGGTTTTAGCCGTGAATGTATGAATGATGGTAAACACTTACTTAAACAGGTAAAAATATTTCTAGCTCATCTACAATGATTTAGTTGGCTTTGTTATATAAAGTGATTGAGGCTTTTGGCCTAACGTACCGTATGTACTGCAGCACTGTACTTATGTATGTATGAGTCCACATAGTTAGCCTTAACGTTGTTACTAAGGACGGTAAGTAATTACTTAAACAGGTGAAAACATTTCTAACTCATCTACAATGAGTTGGCTTCGTTATATAATGTGATTGAGATTTTAGCTTCATGCACCGTACGTAAGCATAGCGGGCTTTATTATGATTGGTTGATTTTTGAAGATCATCTCGTCATATTAAAGTCTTATTAAAGTAACGA